ATTAGCGATTTTTTTAGAAAAAATCCGCGTACGCCACTGGAATTGGCGTCCTCTGAAATAGATCTATACCAAGTTTCATGAAAAAATATTGAACATTAACTATTCTATGACTAAATTACTGTCAAGTTGTTTATTATCCATTAAGAAGCTTTTTATCTAGTAGCCCATGCATTAACTAAAATTAATAAATCTCGACTCCACAATCTTAGTCCTAATTAAACATGCTCTAAAAATACAGCTCCACAGGGATGAACAATATTCATAATAGGCTTTGCAATTACTAAAGTCACAGATGACAAGTCATCTAAATAAAAGACGAAAATGTCAAAATTTGACATTTAATGTAAGCTAAGTATTGAAATTTACGTACTGTCAATAAGTATGGCTCATAATTTAACGTTACTACATAAGATTGAAATAGTAAAACTTCATGGTGACAGAGACAGGTCCGGAAAGTATCTCGAATTTTTAATGACAGACATCCAGAACTTCAAAATATTAGCAAGTCTACCGTTGTGAGAGTGTGCAATATTTTTAATGAATATGGAGCTGTATCTAAGCATATTTAAAAAAATATTAATGGAGTACAACCGCCAAGAAGAAGCAATGAACGAAGTCGAAATTATTTCATCGAAAATCCGAGAAAAAGTTTAAGAATTGCAAGTTTGGACCTCCAGTTACCACGGGAAACAATAAGGAGAAACCTTAAAAAATACAGTAATACGAAGCCTTTTAAACCAAAATTTCTCCACACCTTAGAAGAAGGTGATAATGATAAGCGAATGGAATATTGCTTATGGTGCCAAGGAGAATACCTTAATGACAGAAATTTTCTAAAAAAGATTTTGTTTAGTGACGAGGCAACATTTACTACCAATGGGACGGTAAATTCACAAAACACGAGGCACTGGGCCCAAGAAAATCCCGAATGGGTAATAAACTGTAAGCGACAATATTCACAGAAGGTAAACGTATGGTGCGGTATATTAAATACCAGAATAATTGGCCCCTTCTTTTTTGAAGGCAATTTGAATGGCCAAAGTTTTTTAAATTTTTTAAACAATGAATTCTCGGATGCTATTGATGAACTTCCACTTGCAGAAGTGGTTGGTCTAATGTTTCAGTTAGATGGCTGTCCTACTCACAATGCCAGGGATGTGAAAACGTGGCTGGAGGAAAATTTTCCTAATCGGTGGATCGGGCGAAATAGTAGATTAATACAATTTCCTCCCAGGTCTCCCGACTTAATGCCCCTAGATTTTTTTCTATGAGGGTTTATTAAAGAAAAAGTGTACAAAACTCGTCCAACCAACGCAGAAGAACTCCGTGAAAGAATAAGACAGGCATGCACTGAAATTAGACCACACCAATTGTCTAATGTTATGGCTAACATTGAAAGATGATACAATAAATGCATTCAATTAAATGGAGATTTGGTTTGAAAAATCTAGAATTTAAAATTAATTCATGTTTGTTAATTTAATATTATTTTAGAATAATGTCTTTATAAGAATGTCTATTAAATGTTATTATTAAATAAAGTTGTTGTAAAACATTTATTATCGCATGGGCTACTAGATAAAAAGCTTCTTAATGGATAATAAACAACTTGACAGTAATTTAGTCATAGAATCGTTAATGTTGAATATTTTTTCGTGAAACTTGGTATAGATCTATTTCAGAGGACGCCAATTCCAGTGGCGTACGCGGATTTTTTCTAAAAAAATCGCTAATATGGAATCTGCATTTTTCAGCCCCTAAATGTGATCTAGTAGTTTTTAAAAAAACTGGACGCCGCGGCGCGCCGCTTGGCTTTAAAATACACCTTTGCCCCCTCCACATTTCAAAAAAAAAAATCGTTAAAATCACTCCATAAATAAAAAAATTATGAGGGTGGCCCAATTTCAAATGGGTCACTCTGTATATTAGGGTGGGTTAAAAACAAAATGTTTTTTTTTCTTAGCATGGGGGTAGAATTTGTACCTTATAAAAAAAGAAAATTTTTCAAAAGAAAAAAAATTTTTTACTCAACTCGTTTTTTAAAATAATTTTTAATTAAAGGGGGTAGTTCCAACGGGAAATTCTTTTTTTGGTCCAAAATCATGGAAAACATGTATAAATTGTAGAATGTGATTTTTTTTCACTCAACTTTCATTCTAATACAAAAGAAAGTGCATTTCATTTTTTAATTTTTTACTTAAATTGCAAAAACAATGGGAAAAAAACTTTTTCAACTTTTGACTTCCAATGGGCTTTAAAGGGGACACCCTATAGATTCTAGAACAAAAAAAAGAATTTCCCGTTGGAACTACCCCATTTGATTAAATATTTAAAGTTTATCATTTTGTGTTACTTTAAAATTAATTTTATGTGTATTATTTGTTGTCTATTTACCAAAAATGGGGAAATGGGGATAAATCATATCATGTAGAACTCACGGTGTGATATTTGCAAAATTTGAGCATGCGTGTGAGCCCTGCGAACTGCGAATTTAAAACCTAGTTTGTTATTCACATTACACCGTTATAATTTATAAAACGTTGTTTGAATATCACTAATGTTGTCCGGGTTCAATTAAAAAAGATATTCCAATGTTTAACAAATCGTGAACATTTTGTTAAACATATATATAGTTAATTTAAATCCAAGAAAAAATTAAATGTATTTAACCGCAAAAACGGTTGATTCAACATAATTTTTCTCTTAGTGTACGAACGTGGCGAAAAATGATTATCATCATGATTAAGCACCGTTGGCATAAAAAATCAGGACATGATTTTTTGTGCCAACGGTCAATCGCAACCAGCGATGGCATAAAAAATCACGACATGATTTTCATTTCTCACGCAGTGACATCCGTATGATATCAGTATGAATAAAATTTGTGAAAATCACGACGAGACGTTCATATGATTTTCATTTATTACGCGGTGACTTCCGTATGATATCAGTATGAATAAAATTTTTGAAAATCACGACGTGATGTTCGTATGAATATCACGAATGTTGTCCGGGTACTACATACTATAACATACGTAATCCCATAATTTAATCCTATTTAAAGTATGATAAATAATGTGTACATTTTATTAATTTTTAATTTGACTAGGCAAGGTAAGTTTACTTAAGTTTTAAGTTTATTTAGATTTTAAAAGGTTATTTAAAATGTAGAATGTATCATAAAGGCAAGTTAACCTAACTTTTTAATTTATGCTTTATATTGTGATTGATAGCAGATCGAACAGAGCCAATCGATGCCCAATCCCTGTGCGTTTTAAAGCTTTTATCTTCGAACTGGTTTCGAGATCCCATTTAAATATATATATGTATAAATATCAAAATTTAGGGAAAAGAATAAGCTTTTTTTAGTACCTATTTAAAAAAAATCAAAATGGTCCTATTTTGAGAAAAAATATAAAAATATCCTTTAAATCAATTTTTCTTGGCCAAAATTTTTTTTTGCTTTTGAAACCACCTCTATCTTAAAGCACGAAAAAAAAGATATAGAATATATTATTTTTCGATTAAAAAAAAACTAATTTATATTTTTTTATCAACCAAAAGACTCTCACAAAAAAATCTGCAACCCGTCAGTCTTTTCTGCTGCCCTTTTGCTTAATTAAAGTAGTCCGATAGGACAATGATTTAGGAAAGTTTCATCAAAATCGGAAACAACTTAAGTTTTTGGTGGGAACACTTGGCGTATTTTACCCCATATATAAGAAATCTTTTTAACAAAACCCAAACTTGTATGGCCCCCAAACAGGTTTAGCCCAGGGCCCCGAAAGGTAACGGTCCGCCCCAACGGTCCGCCCCTCTTTCGGAGACATTAAAAAATAACTTTTTCAAAACCCTGTTAAAAAATTCTTTAGGACACATGTCACCAGGACAAAAAATTCTCGTCTTGGCGTGGTCTACCACCCCCTTGATTTTTTACCATTTATTCCTTAAAACCCAGTGTAAATAACTTTACATTTAAAAACCACAGGTTATGGCCAATGCCGGTTTTAGTACTATGCTTTTGAAACCCATGCGAAAAGAAGTAAAAAAACAAGAAAAAAAATTAAATTATATAAATAATAATAATAAAAGTTACTTTATTTCAAAAGCAGAAGTATACATTTGTGAACAATAATGCATAAAGAAAACCCAAGGTAGGTAAGTAATGGAAAGAATATTGGACAAACCCCTTTTACGCCTAAACTGCCGATTTTGATGAAATTTTGTGCCGATGAATTTTGACACCCGGGGACGGACATGGGCTACTTTTTTTAAGCCTCAACTGATAAACCGATTTTGATAAAATTTGAATAGTTTGACACCCGGGGACGGACATAGACTACTACCCATTATACTCTTGGGCGTGCTGATGGTTTGGGTTGGTTTGTTTTGTTTGATTACGTGGGTTGGTTGGTTGGGTTGATTCAAATTAATTTTATTTACCATTTTAACAATACATTTTTTTTAACAACTTGTGGTTTTTTTAATCCGCCTAAGCTTATTCAGCTTGTTTTGCAGATGTCTAACTAAATACTTATTTGTGACTTACAGAAGTATAACTATACATATTAAAATGCTTAATCTTAAACTAAAATGAACCATTAACCCTAACTGAGACAAAAAGAGGATGAGTATTTAATTGCATTTTTAATCATTACGGAATTTTTCTTACTAAACATTTTTAATTTACTTTTTAGCAGCGATTTTGAATATAAATTTTTTATTTCCTTTGGTAGCATATTATTATTTGAGGCGTACAAAAATAGAGACCTTTGAAGGTGAAACATTAAATCTAGGTGCTAATAAATAATTATTTTTTTACTAAGCACTTAATAACGTAGAAAAAGTATTAAATTACTTGACATTTGTATTATTATTATTTTACTGAACATATAATATTTTTACTAAACATTTATTATTTTTTAATAAACATTTATTACTTTTTACTAAACAAAATGGATTTATTTACTGCACAGTTTATTAGTACCCATTATACTAACCTCTCATTCTATGACTAAAAGACGTAAGTTCCTGACTAGTTGGTCTACCATCCCCATCTGAATCGGAGCCGAGAGTATCGTACTCTGAAATAGGCAGGTGCAGGGTTAGTATCTTCTTGACCTCTGAGTCAGTGCTGCCCAGATTATCAGACTCTGAAATATAAATTACTATTGTTTTTTTTATTTAATTTTAAGCAGCAATGGCCCTTTTTAATTGGGATAAATTATTAAAATATGTTTTTACAAGAACAATTTGGAAATTGTTTTATTATATTAATTTCGTATGCTAAATAGTTTTATGCAGTATTACTTATTTATAAAATGCACAAGTAAATTTTAAAAAATTTAAATTAAACACTTTATGCTATTGAATCGGATGTATAACATAATATATAGCAAAGCCATATTGTACCTACATAAATATTTTACCTAATTGATTTTCCTCTTTTTAATACAAAAAAGAAATGTTATCGAATAATGAATAATAGTATACTTTTAAAACCAAATAGCCTTGGTATTAGTAATAAAATAGTTAAATAGTAATCGAGATAGGTCAATCTGCTCCAAAATGGGCAAAAATGAGGTTTTTACGGAATTTACTGAATGTATTAATTATAATTAACCTAACAAAGACAAAAACTAAGCAAGGCCATGAGGTCTGTTAAATCTAAATAACATAATTTCTTAATTAAATAAATTAATTCATATTAAACATAAGATTGTTGATATATATATATATAAATAGAGCTAATAATGCCCGGTTGTACATATTGAGTTCAGCTTTTACTTACATTTTGAACTAAGCTCAAACTATTGCTATAACAATTGTAACCAAGCAACTAAACCTCCATTAAAGTTAAACTGCAACTGAACTGTAATTGTACAACTGAGCCCAAGTGTATGCCACTAAAATATTTTATCGGGTTTAGTTGATAACATCAAAACACAACTAATCTAAACCATTAACTTAATTGGGTATTTATCTAAACAATTGGCTATTTTTTATTAACAATATTGATACAAGCATAATAAAATACTCGAATATATCATTATGCGAAAATACTACCGCCAGGCTGCGCCAGCACGTACGGCCTGTTATGTTATATAATATTTTAGTGATTAGCTGAACTAAAGCGGAGTGTTATTGGAAATATCTAGAATCTGTTCGGCAAATGTTTTACCTCGCGATATCAATTTCTTAACCAAACACAGACATCTGCACGCCGCACTGTGGTAAAAAGTGTCCAAAACCCCCCCAAAGTTAATCGTCTGTAAATAGTCCAAAATTGTTTAATTACATTCTTAAATACATGCATGATCTGAACCCATTTTAATTTTAAATAATATTAAGTAAGTTCGTTGAAACTTGTATTTTCGTTATTTCAGTAAGAAATTTCGCAGTTTCTAATTAAATTTTTTGTGTTCCAAAAGAATGATTTGAAAAATTAACCAATGCTTGGATTGTTTAAAGGGCATGTAAGAGTATTTAAAATAATAATTCATTTTGAAATAAAAACAAACGTAGAATGTTTTATGCATAGTTTTAGTGCTCGGATATTCGAAACCGTGTCGACGTGTCTTGCATAATCTGTTCGCGCCGTCAGTGGACGTATGTGTACGGGGTTTAGGTAGTTAAATCAAGTAGGTATAGGTGGATTTTTCGTTTTTGCCTTCGAAAATTTGTTTCCAGTTATGTATATGGATTCTGGCGGGCATTTGAATAAAAATTCATATTTCTACAACCGTTGAAGTTAGCGACTTAATTTTTTTTAAAACTTTGTCAATGTTTTGACTATAGTATATGTATATGTATACATTTGACTCGATATATATGTATAAAAATTTTCAATAATTCACATAACTCGCCGCAGGGTAAAGTTTTTTATGCACGATTTTGATAATTCTATATTGCAAATTTTTTTTATTCAAAATTAAAATTTTTGAATTGCTATTAGAAGCGCTTACATTTCAAGTATAAGTCTGCAAAAAATCAGAATTTTAGATTGTATTCTAGAATTAATACAACGATTAATTTACGAATCACCGGAATAAAATCGCCGTGTGAAATTAAATTTCTTTTTAAATTATATATATTAAGCAAAATATGACAATTTTCCAAAAAAATTACTAATTTTTAATCTGTTGTAGATACAAACAAAGAAATAATATTAATAATATTTTTGGGACACATATTTTTTTCAAAAATCACTAATTAATTTATTAATCATATAACTAAAACAAAAAATGGTTAGTACAACAGGTCAAAAAGATAAATTAAAAGTATACTGAACATAAGTTTGCTAAAATATAACGATGATTTTTTTTAACAAATATTTCTTTATTAAAAAAAATCAATTAAAATATTTTAACTCAATGATTTTTGTTTGTTTTTCGCTATATAATATATAATATAATATTATTTTATCGGAAATATTAAATTCAAAGTTTACACTTTTTTCATACTTTTCGCAATGGCGTCAGAAGATGACGGCGAAGGTGATTCTAATAAGAAGAAAAAGTGTGTTTTCTGCAACGAAAATATTAGATCTAGTGGTGTCAAGTACTGTATTTGTCATTGCTGTATCCACTCAAAGTGTTTTGGCCGACAGGCTAAATTGGCGTTGTAAAGGGTGTGTTGATAAAGAGAGTGTTACTAGGCTAAAAAATATGGATCGGGAAGTGTTATTTAAAGAAAATGAGTGCTTCAAAAGGGAACTGGAGTTAGTAAAAGTGTTAGTGAGTGAACAAAGTTATACAATTAAATTGCAGAAGGAAAATTTCAAATATTTGAAGAATTTAAATACAAATCCAAGGTCGATGTATCCGTATAGCGATGCACTAAAAAACAGTGGTTCAATAAAAAACGTTGTTAATAAAAATGTAAACAAACCGCTGTAACAATTATAAGGTCCAAAACAAATGAAGAAAACGAATCTATTGTCAAAGAAATTAAATCAAATATAAGCCCACAGGAATTATACGTATCTATACTTAAAACTAGAACTGTAAAAAATGGTCTTTTAATAAGATATGGTGGTACAGAAGATTTACATAAATTAAAGTCAACTAATTCCGGAAAATTTGGAGATAAATACTCATTTAATGAACCTATTAAACTTTGACCTCGAATAATTACACAGTACGACAAAATTTGATTTTTGGTCCCTCCCATGAAAAATTTCTACAGATTCTAAAAATAGAGTTAAAAAAATGATACCCGTGTCTCGGCGTTTTTTCACATCACGTCATAATTTTTTTTTAAGGGCTATCCAATAAAATGTTATTCACACTATTCGCGACATATTTTAATAGACTCGATAGCAGCTGGACTGCATAGTTAAAAATATATATATTTACTAAATGGATAGGCAACCATTATAGATTCATTTTAAAATTATTTTAATCTTATACAGAGTTTTGCACATTTAAGAAATATATCAAACGGTTTACTTTTAAACAAAGTAACAAAATGTTTCAATTTTAAGCCAATCAAAATGCTTTAAAGTCGGGTGATTAAAGTTTTTATTTATTCAATTTTTTTGTAAAAATTGAGCTTTGTTGAATTAACATTTTTAATACTAAAAATTAAAAGATATTTAAATGAATTGATTTAAGTCTTAAAGCAAGTGAACCTAAAACATTTAATTTAAGTAAAAAAATTATTTAAGTATACGAAGTCAATTGAAACAGCAAAAAAACAAAAAATTTACACATCTGCGGCATTTATAAATAAAAAGCATTGTTTTCAAAACAATCGTTATACGAGGGTCGGTCAACATTTATTTCATTGTTTTAATGTACTATATTAATGCGCCATGCACTTATTGCACCCTATATTTCGTACTTTTTTTTAAAATGTTAAATAAAAACATTATTGCAGCGATAAATCGATACATTTTTCATATTAATTTTGATTGTTGAGTAAACCATCCATTTGAAATCAAAGTAAAAATGCAGTGTCCGAATCGAAATAATTTTTGTTATGTATGTGGTTTATTTGCACCGCGAAATATTACAAAAAGTGTAGTAACAGCTTTTGAAGGCTATTTTTTGGTGACGTATATACCAAACTTATGGTATGTTCCAGAGGTTTTATGTGATTATTGTTACCGTTGTTTGCATGGATTGCAAGATAAAACACACAGTATGAAATATGTTGCACCAACAATTTGGCTTCGACGTACCGAACACGCATCTGACCAGTGTTATTTCTGCATGTCAAAATTAAAAAGTTTTGGATTTCGGTACAATACTAGAGAAAATTGATTACGCCGATGTAGAATCCGTTATTCTCGCAAGAGTGCGATCTGAAGATTATCCAACTGCTCCTTCAGAAGACATATCTGAGGATAAAAGTAAAAGACCTTTAACACCCAGTACTACCATTTTTTCCGAGGTGGAATCTGAATTTATTCCCTGTAGTTCGGGTTATAAAGTACATTTTATAACCCAGGCTGATTTCAATGATCTTGTTCGTGATGCCAATTTATCAAGAACTACAGCGGAATTGGTTGCATCACGGCTCCGACAATGGAATTTAGTTGCCGATGACTTTAAAATAACGGCAAACCGAAAACGAAATATTTGCATGTCGTTTGACAAATATTTTGCTTCACATGAGGATTCTGAAAAGAACCTGGCTTATTGTGAAAACGTCGATGCATTATTCGAGGAAATTGGTCATCCTCATATTTCAGAAGAATGGCGACTCTTCATTGATTCCTCTGTGAATAGCTTAAAAGTAGTTTTACTTCATATTGGAAACAAGTATCCATCTGTTCCAATCGCCTATGCCACAAATATGCCTGAAAATTATGACAATATGAAGCTAATTCTAGAGCTAATACACTACAATCAGCACGAATGGAAAATTTGTTGCGATCTGAAAGTTGTGGGATTGCTGACTGGTTTAAAAAAAGGATATTGTAAACACCAATGTTTCTTGTGCACTTGGGATGGCCGTAAGACAGAGCTGCATTATACTGATTTTACATGGGAGCCACGCATTAACTGTCAATTAGGTCAGTTAAGCATTGAAAACCTACCGTTGGTGGATGCAAGGAAAGTAATCTTTCCACCACTTCACATTAAACTTGGCCTGATACGCAATTTTGTTCGAGCACTAGATTCGTCCGGTGAAGCTTTTAAATTAT